TTTTAGACAACAACTCCCACCAGGACTAGGTATGGTAGGACCTGCTACCCAGGTATGGTAGGACCTGCTACCCAGGTATGGTAGGACCTGCTACCCAGGTATGGTAGGACCTGCTACCCAGGTATGGTAGGACCTGCTACCCAGGTATGGTAGGACCTGCTACCCAGGTATGGTAGGACCTGCTACCCAGGTATGGTAGGACCTGCTACCCAGGTATGGTAGGACCTGCTACCCAGGTATGGTAGGACCTGCTACCCAGGTATGGTAGGACCTGCTACCCAGGCATGGTAGGACCTGCTACCCAGGCATGGTAGGACCTGCTACCCAGGCATGGTAGGACCTGCTACCCAGGCATGGTAGGACCTGCTACCCAGGCATGGTAGGACCTGCTACCGCTACCTGTTGATATATTTTCCTCATACATCGTCCTTTTACAACTTATCTGCTGCAAGTAACCAGCGGAGGCTGTGTGTTGTGGACGGTGACCGCAGTCTAGTAGCATCCTCATGACATGACTGTACACACAGGATGTCACGTAAGTTATTAGAGACACAACGGATGTAACATCCGCTGGAGAGTTCCAGGAGTCCAGGCATGAAGCACTCTACTTGGGCACGCATGCACTACTTTCTCAGAAGTCACGTGGTATTATGTGTGTCCTCATATTCTGCTAGTTTCTTGTCATCAGTGAAGGCGTGGTGGATTTCTTGAGTTGATTTCGGGGCTTTAGTGTCCCTGCGGCCCGATCCTGGACCAGGCCTCCACCCCCTAGGAAGCAGCCTGTGACAGCTGACTAACTCAGAGGTACCTATTTACTGCTAGGTAACAGGGGCATAGAGTGAAAGAAACTCTGCCCATCGTTTCTCGCCGGCACCCAGGACCATAGGATCACGTGTCCAGCATGCTGTCCGCTCAGCCGGCCGGATGTGATCTGATTGGACCCTTGATTAGAATGTAATCTGATTGGACCCTTGATTAGGATGTGATCTGATTGGATTCTTGATTAGGATGTGATCTGAATGGACCCTTGATTAGAATGTGATCTGATTGGACCCTTGATTAGAATGTGATCTGAACGGACTCTTGATTAGAATGTGATCTGAATGGACCCTTGATTAGACTGTGATCTGATTGGACCCTTGATTAGGATGTGATCTGATTGGACCCTTGATTAGGATGTGATCTGAATGGACCCTTGATTAGAATATGATCTGATTGGACCCTTGATTAGAATGTGATCTGAACGGACCCTTGATTAGAATGTGATCTGAATGGACCCTTGATTAGACTGTGATCTGATTGGACCCTTGATTAGGATGTGATCTGATTGGACCCTTGATTAGGATGTGATCTGAACGGACCCTTGATTAGGCTGTGATCTGAACGGACTCTTGATTAGGCTGTGATCTGAACGGACCCTTGATTAGGCTGTGATCTGAACGGACTCTTGATTAGGCTGTGATCTGAACGGACTCTTGATTAGGCTGTGATCTGAACGGACTCTTGATTAGGCTGTGATCTGAACGGACTCTTGATTAGGCTGTGATCTGAACGGACTCTTGATTAGGCTGTGATCTGAACGGACTCTTGATTAGGCTGTGATCTGAACGGACTCTTGATTAGGCTGTGATCTGAACGGACTCTTGATTAGGCTGTGATCTGAACGGACTCTTGATTAGGCTGTGATCTGAACGGACTCTTGATTAGGATGTGATCTGAACGGACTCTTGATTAGGATGTGATCTGAACGGACTCTTTAGGCTGTGATCTGAACGGACTCTTGATTAGGCTGTGATCTGAACGGACTCTTGATTAGGCTGTGATCTGAACGGACTCTTGATTAGGATGTGATCTGAACGGACTCTTGATTAGGCTGTGATCTGAACGGACCCTTGATTAAGCTGTGATCTGAACGGACCCTTGATTAAGCTGTGATCTGAACGGACCCTTGATTAAGCTGTGATCTGAACGGACTCTTGATTAGGCTGTGATCTGAACGGACTCTTGATTAGGCTGTGATCTGAACGGACTCTTGATTAGGCTGTGATCTGAACGGACTCTTGATTAGGCTGTGATCTGAACGGACTCTTGATTAGGCTGTGATCTGGACCCTTGATTAGACCCTTGATTAAGCTGTGATATGATCTGAACGGACCCTTGATTAAGCTGTGATCTGAACGGACTCTTGATTAGGCTGTGATCTGAACGGACCCTTGATTAAGCTGTGATCTGAACGGACTCTTGATTAGGCTGTGATCTGAATAGGATGCATTCAAATAATTTATACTTTATAGCTCTCATTAGTCACTTGTGAAATCAAGGTTCCGATTCCTTATTGTGCTGGAGGAGTTTCTTGTATTTACTGATTTAAAGTACATCTCTCGAGAAAATCTTAGAGATCATTTGAGGGTAAATGTTCATTCAACCCACTTCCTGCGATTTCGCTGTTATCAGATTACATTTTAGGCGCTGAAAGTTGAAATTAACGAGCCAGATAATGCGTGGGGCCGATATTGCAAGCTTAGCTAGACCCTGCTTGATATTAAATGGCTTGACCTTTGAATTAATGGGAAATTACATTTCATATTTTGTTTAGATGATAATGAGGAAATTCTGCTGGCTGTTTTCAGTATCGGCACCAAAGAGTACATTGTTGTTGTAATTGTGTATCTTATATTGATTAGGATGATTATTGTTACTTATTATTACTACTATCCCCTCTACTACACCTTACTTTGCTCCTCAGCTCTCTCTCTGGCCTATTTATTGCTTGTCTCTACTTCCTCATCACACGGGAGACATCTCCCGTCACGCAGGGTGCAGTTGCACCTCCACAGATCTCCAGTATCAGCTCTTGATACTGGTATTGGCTCAAAAGGGCCACCACTTACGGGCTATTCATGCCCGTGCCACCTTTTGGGTGGCTTAATCTTCATCAATCAATCTTCCTCATCACAATCGACTTGAGAATGGTCTAGGACGGACCGAAACGTCGTCGTCCCTTCACCTTCTAGTGTGTGGTCTGGTCAACAAAATTGTGTATGTTAGTACAAGATTGATGAAGATTGATGAAGATTAAGCCACCCAAAAGGTGGCACGGGCATGAATAGCCCGTAAGTGGTGGCCATTTTAAGCCATTACCAGTATCAAGAGCTGATACTGGAGATCTGTGGAGGTGCGACTGCACCCTGCGTGACGGGAGATGTCTCCCGGACCAAATGGTCGAGGTTAGTACAAGGGCATGAGTGTAACATATAGACTGACTCCATCTGTGTGACCTGATGTGGCAGTTCTGACAATGAGGAGAATGCCAGCCCTCATTTTGCCAATATTTTGAACATGTTCGATCATTCTTAAGGTTATCTTGGCATGATTTCGGGGTTTAGCGTCCCCGCGACCCGGCCTCCTTTTTATTACACATCCCCAGAAAGCAGCCCGTAGCAGCTGTCTAACTCCCAGGTACCTATTTAATGCTAGGTAAACAGATGCATCAGCGTGAAAGAAACTCTGTCCATTTGTTTCCGCCTCCACCGGGGATCGAACCCGGAACTCAGAACTACGAATCCGAACCGCTGTCTTCTTAGCTGTCAGGCCCCCTTCCTTAGTGTAACAAGTTCAGAATTCTCCAATAAATATGTTAATAAGGCTGTCAGAAACGTAAATTAGTTTATGGAGACACTGACAATGAAGTTTGAGCAATGGTACAACAGGAGAGGTGCGAATCTGTACTGTGAGAGAGATTGTTTGTTTGTCAGCATGTCCAAGCACAGGTACAACCCACGTGGTTCCATTGTTCCAGTGGTCGGTTGATATAACGTGGTATAAACCATATAATATATTGTTTAGCAGCGGATTATTTCCCACAACCCGGACTGTCCATCACATGTTACTTGAGAGCCCTTGGCCTGCAGATGAGTATACAAATTTCTTGCTTTACTGCTTTTGGAAGATTGTAAGCGAAGCGAAACCCTCCCCCCCCATGTGTTAGCGTGTATGGAGACCAGTGTGTCCTTGTGTCCCTTCATCTGGGAGTTGAGCCCACCCAGCGGCTGTGACCCCTCCAGGTTAGCAGAGGACAACACACCTTGGGTGAGGGGCCGGGAGTAAAGCGGGAGTTTATGCGGCTCACCTGCACCAATCAGCTCATCTGGTTAGTCCTAATTAGACACAGAGTCTTGTGAGCATTGTAGGGTTGGTGCTCCTGTTCGTTCCTGGGACCCTGTTCGGCCCTACAATGGTGACCCATGAATACTGTTCCGGTTAACCTTGAGGTCGCTTGTCCTTGTGCTAGTACCACCCATGTAGGCTCCGTGGTGGGTGGGCCTGCTGGACACCGAAGTCTTTATCTGTTAATTTGTATACTAAGGTCTGACCTTGCTTCTCCTCAGACGTGTAGGATGGGTGACCAAGTCCCCGGAGTGTGACCGTGCTGGAAGGACCGGCTCTGTAACCCCGGCTACGTTGGGCGTTGATCAGGCTTTGTTTTTTTACTACCCCCAACTGACACTCTTCTTTCTCCTTCTATTAACTTGGGTGGGTTGAGCCCCAAGCCCCCGGTGGTGACTATCTTGTCCTCTGGCGTGGCTCCACCTTCCAATGTGACAACTGTTATTCTGTTTTTTATTCTACATTCGTTCTGTTTTTTTCTGCAAAGACCTCCATGGAGGTAATGGAGACGACGTCCCCTTTCCTCCAACGCTGGCTCTGATTTGCGATTGATGTTGTGTCGTCCAGGGTCACCAGTCATGGCTTTTGAGTTTTCTACATCTACTTGTGCTGTGACTTGTACTGGGAAACAGGTCATTCTTAGTCCTCCCATTGTCGCACTATGGTATTCCCCTTCTGTGTAAAGACTCTACTAAACTTTTGGAGATGATCTATGATAATTGTTTGTCTTGGTCACTTCATATCTCTTTCCTCTGAGTCAAATGCTCTAAGGCCCTTATATTACTTCGAGTCATGTCCTGTACTTCCTGGGATGCTGAAAGATGCACACTCTTCTATTCGCACTCCTTTCTCCCTGCCTGCTCCTCCGCTTCTTCATCGTCTTGAGCTCTGCACCGTGCTGGGTTGAGCTTCAGCTCTGGAGTCTTTCGTTCGTCCTAGAGCATGCGTGTTGAAACCGGCAACTTGTCGACACAGGATCGTCGGGATCGTTACTGACTTTGCCACGTTGCAAGGTCTCTGCAACATCCCCATTCCTGCTTTAGGCGATCATTGACTGTTGACCCTCCGGTAGGCCCAGTTCCCTTTCACCACCTTCCTTTATATATAATGATATCTCACTTAAGTCTCCCTTTCAGTCTGCTTTTGTAATGCCTCTCTTCGTGTTGTTCCATCCTTACCCACATGGAGCGTCCCACTGGGAAGGTTTTGCAAGACTTGACTCACATGGTAAAGACTTCTATCTGATGTCAATGTTCCTTTTGTGGTTGACTCTTGCAGTGTTATCATGGCTCTAGAGTCATTTAGTCCTATGCAGTCTGTGGCAATCGAAAATCAATAGTGTCTGTTTCTAATCTGTAGTAGATTTAGGACATTTTTGCTGGGTTAATAACCATATTGGGATTATCTTAAATGAGCGTGCGTACTCTGCCGCTAACAGGGGGATCCTTTTTTGTCCTATTTCCTGGAAAAGGCATTCCTTAGTCGCTCCTGCTTGATACCTGCTTGATGGAGATTCTGGGAGTTCTTTTACTCCCCAAGCCCGGCCCGAGGCCAGGCTTGACTTGTGAGAGTTTGGTTCACTAGGCTGTTGCTTGCAGTGGCCCGTAGGCCCACATACCCACCACAGCCCGGTTGGTCCGGCACTCCTTGTAACTATAAGGTGTGAAGGATAGATGAAATTGTTTATGTAATAATCTAAGATGAGGTCTGATAAAGACCTTTTGTGCCCTCTGTACTGCTTTTGCGCTACCGCTCACAGGATGAGTATGGGGTGCACAATAAACTAGCCGCCTCCGGCGGCATCAATCAAAACAATCAATCCTTGGAGAAAACTATCTAGTTTTCTCTTGAAGATGTCCACGGTTGTTCCGGCAATATTTCTTATGCTCGCTGGGAAGATGTTGAACAACCGCGGACCTCTGATGTTTATACAGTTCTCTCTGATTGTGCCTATGGCACCTCTACTCTTCACTGGTTCTATGCTGCATTTTCTTCCATATCGTTCACTCCAGTATGTTGTTATTTTACTGTGTAGATTTTGGACCTGGCCCTCCAGTATTTTCCACGTGTATATTATTTGATATTTCTTTCGTCGTCTTTCTAGCGAGTACATTTGGAGAGCTTTGAGACGATCCCAATAATTTAGATGCTTTATCGCGTCTATGTATGCCGTATATGTTCTCTGTACTCCCTCTATTTCAGCAATCTCTCCTGCTCTGAATGGGGAAGTAGGTACTGAGCAGTACTCACACAGTGATTTGAAGAGTACAACCATTGTGATGGGATTCCTGGATTTGAAAGTTCTCGTAAAACTTTATTAATATCTGCTTGTAGGTTTTCAATGTCTTCAGCAGAGGTAATATTCATGTTGATTTTTGTGTTATCTGCAAAGGATGATACGAAGCTGTGCCTTGTATTTGAGTCTATATCTGATATGAGAATAAGAAACAGCAGTGGTGCAAGGACTGTAATTTGAGATACAGAGCTTTTAACTGCGCTTGAACTCGATTTTATATGGTTGACTGTTACTCTTTGTGTTCTGTTCGACAGAAAACTGAATATCCAGCGTCTTACTTTGCCAGTTATTCCCATTGACTTCATTTTGTGTGCTATCACTCTATGGTCACATTTATTGAATGCCTTTGCGAAATCCGTGTATACCACATCTGCATTCTGTTTTTCTTCTAATGCCTCAATGATTTTGTCGTAATGGTCAAGTAGTTGCGAGAGGCATGATCTTCCCGCTCTAAATCCATGTTGGCCTGGGTTGTGAAGGTCATTGGTCTCCATGAAATTAGTGACCTGACTCCTGATCACTATCTCAAATACTTTTATTATGTGGGACGTTAGTGCAACTGGTCTATAATTCTTTGCCAATGCTTTGCTCCCTCCCTTGTGTAGAGGGGCTATGTCTGCTGCTTGAAGCGCATCTGGTATCTCCCCCGTGTCCATCTCTTCCTCCACACTATACTGAGTGCCTGTGCTACTGGCACTTTGCATTTCTTTATAAATATTGAATTCCATGAGTCTGGACCCGGGGCTGAGTGCGTGGGCATATTGTCAATTTCCCTTTCAAAATCTGCCACGCTCGTGTTGATATCAGTTATATTTAAAGGGGTTTGGATATCACGCATAAAGATGTCCGGATCTTCCACTTTCATGCTGTGTATCGGAGTGCTAAACATGTCCTCATACTGCTTTTTTTAGGATTTCACTAATTTCTTTGTAATCCTCAGTGTACGAACTTTCACTAGTATGAATAGGTCCAATACTGGCAGTGGTTTTGGCTTTTGATTTAGCATATGTGAAGAAATATTTTGGGTTTTTCTTTATTTCTTGATTTGCTTACTATTCTAGTTGCCTTTCTTCAGTCTGATGTGAATGCTTCAGTATCTATTCGATTTTTTCAATCTCCCTGTTTAAATTATTCCTTCTTTGTATGGAAAGTCGTGTCTGCTAAAGCATTTCCGTTAACTTTTTCCTTCTTTTGTAATGTCATTTGCATTCTCTTTCTACATTGGACCTCTTTCTGGCTTTCCTCAAAGGAACATGTTTCAGACAGACTTCATATGCTTCAGAAGTCAGTTTTTCTATTCCCTGTGTAAGATTTTTATTTCTTGGAACATTTTTCCATTGAATGTTTGTAAGTTTGTTACGGCCCTCTCGGGACGCAACGGGGTTCTTACTCTGATGTCGTTAGAGGAAGATATATATCCGACCCCAAGCCAGTAGAGGCTTTCAAGGGATGCGATCCGTGACGCAAGTAACTTAAAGGGAGTAGGGAAAGAAAGCTAAGAACTTAATATAATATAATGTTCACCTTCACCGTTTAATATATATAATAAAAGAGTACACAAGGGGGAGGGGTATTAACACTTTACAAAGGGGATCAACACTGTAGTCTTCTGCTGGAGACTATGGATCCTCGAAGCTAGGTGCTGAGTCCGCGGTGCTTTCTTCGTGGCCTCAAGACGTGTCCTCTGAGAACGCCGAGTCTACCCTGGCCACAGGTCAGCCACAACACAGGTCCACTGGGGGCACCGTCGTGGAGGCCGTCAACCACACGTCCAGCAGGTCTGCTGGCAGGTACTGAGCCACCAAGGCTGGTACGGCCACTCCACGAACGATATAAGGGGTACGCCCTAGACAGGAGTCTCGTGTGATATCACCAATCACCCTCCTGTCCTCAATACCCCAGTGGATTATCGTCTCCAACCGTCGGTCCCGGGTAAATCCTTCCACTGCCACTCCACTGGCAGGCTTAACACACCACAGTGTTCTTCCGGGGGGACGACGACACGACAGCTGCAGCAAACTTCACTGTATGGAGACTGGCTGCCTCGGGTAGACTGACTACACCTTCAACACAGTGGTCCCAGGTTGGCTCTGTAAGCAGACACGTCATTAATAACCGGGACACTAATACACCACACTCACAGGCTCAGATACAAACGCCCGACATATCCACTCCCTAGATGGCGCTGTCGTCGGAGCACCACCTCACCAGAGGTCAGGAGCGGCGGTGTTGAGCGCTGAACCAGACTGGAAACTGGTCCTCGAGGCCAGTACACGCTGTCCTCACTAGGTGTCGTCGTTCGTTTGGAGGGGGTTTCGGGAGCTGACCCACAGATGGCGTGTTTGTCACTGCTCCAGGCTCGAACGCTGGATCCGGGTTCGTAACAAAGTTCCGTGTTTATTTTCTCCCAGTCTATCCTTTTATTATTAAAATTGAATTTATTGAATAACCGTTCTCGCTTGTTGTTTCTCTTGGGCCTACTACCGTTATTAATGTTAGTTTGCACTTCAATGAGCTTGTGGTCCGAGTACGTAGTGTCTGAGACAGTAATGTCTCTGATTAGCTCATCATTGTTCGTGAATATCAGATCCAGCGTGTTTTTGTCCCTAGTTGGTTCTGTAATCTGCTGACTGAGCGAGAATTTGTCACAGAATCTCAGTAGTTCTCTGACCTGTGGTTGGTTATTTCCAGGTTGACTTCCTGCTATAATGTTATTGTTTACTATTCTCCATTTTAAACTGGGCAGATTGAAGTCTCTAAGGAAGATGATATCTGGTACTGGGTTTGCTAGGTTATCAAGGATATTCGCTATTTTGTGGATCTGCTCAGTGAATTCCTCAACTGTTGCATCTGGTGGTTTATATATTAAAATAATAATTAGATTTATATTTTGTACCTTGATTCCAAGTACCTCTACCACCTCATTGGACGAGTTCAGGAGCTCTGTGCATGCCAGTTCCTCTTTAATATACAGACCTACTCCTCCACTTGACCTAATTAATCTGTCACATCTATATAGATTATAATTTGGAATCCAGATTTCACTATCCATGTGGTCTTTTGTGTGGGTTTCTGTAAATGCACCAAATATCGAGTTCGATTCTATTAGAAGGCCATTTATGAACTTAACTAATTTTATTTCTTGATTTTGATTTTAGGCCTTGTATATGTGGGAATGATTTCCCATATTGCGTGTCACTTCTGGTGTGCTTTGGTAGTTCTCTCCCCTCTCCACCCATGTTCAGAGTGTTGTTTTGGTAGTGGTTCGTCCAGTGTTGGTAGTAGTTCGGGTGTTGTGTGGTGTAGTACCTGTGTGCTGGATGATGACTTGTATTCCAGTCTTGTGGGTATCTCCCTCCCCTTCCCTTCTGTAATCCTGCAGTGGTGCTATCTGCCTGTTCCTCTCTCTTATATCTTCTACTCTGTTTCTGCCTTCCTCTAAAAAAATTCCAGTAGTATCATATTGATCTTCCCGTCTATAACACTGTGTACCTCTCACGTGGAATTCCGGGCACTGAAGATTGTAACATTTTTTGTCCCTAATTGAAAATTTACATGGGTTAGGGTGGAAGTGTCTGCACTCCATTCCAAAACGGCATGTACCCCTCGGCAACATGTTCCTGCATTTTCGAGGATGCAGAAAAGTGCATTTTGCTTCTAATTTCCCATAGTTGCATATTACTTGTGCATAGAATTTGTAAATATCTTCAGTTTTTATTTTTTTCAGGGTATTTATACCTGTGCCTGTCTTGGCCGCCTCTTCATTGGAACCATCTCCATCTTTCGTCCCAATTTCTTCGTTTATGCACTGTCTCACTGTTGCTCTCATTGTTTATATTACCTGGCTGCAATATTGCTGTCGTTTTGTACCACAATACCCTCTTCCTCCACACTACCGCTGTGGTTCTCTAAACTAACTGTTCCTGAGTTTTGGTCGTTATCCAGTGTTGTCTTTTCACAGTCCGCATATATCACTGGTAACTTTTCTGTGAATGTTAATCTTTGTGGCTCGGAACCTTTTTCTCCAGTTGAGTTGTGTTTTCCCATATTAACCTGTCATTTTTGCAAACGCAGTATATTCCTTGTTTGTGCATGCTGTAGATAATGCTACACAGCTCAGGTGAAATCTTGTGTTGCAGATGCAACACTTGACGCCTGCAGTACGTCTTCTAAATTCTTCAAAACACTTGCCACACACCTCCATTGTCTGATGTATTGTATTTGTGCTTCACTGTATGGATCACTTGTTGACTTCAGTAATTTTACTATTTATAATATTATATGTATATATTTATGATATATGTTCATTCCTCAATCCAAGACCATTAGCAGGGTCGTTGGTGGTGTGTTACAGGTACCAAACTGTGTTCTTAAGGGTAGCCTGTTCCCTTGGCTTTCCTTCTACCACCGTAATCAGCGGTGGGATATGGCTCTGGTTAGGTTACCTATTGGCCATATATGTTTAACTCACGGACACTTAATGGAACATCTCTCTCTTTATTATTATCTGAACTGCATTCTCTCCTACAGTTGTGTACCTCCTTTTAAAATGTCCTGATTGTCAAGACATTTATGTGTGTGTTGCTTCCCAATTATCCCTTGTGGTCATTTGTCTATCAATATAATCCTTGGTGACTCCGGTATCTTCGATATCACTCGTCTTGTGTGCTTTTGTTCTCGTATTGGCATGCTCAGTGATTTTTAGCGCCTTATTAATATCCAGCAACACTGATGGTGCTACAGTCTCCCCGGCTAGGTGCATTATTTTCAGAATTTACTATTACATCTCTTGAGCTCCTTACAGCCTGCATGTGCATGGAGAACAATGGTGCCACAACCGCCGGCATTCCTTGAAATGTGCCTGACTTCATCACACATACGTGCACACGTGGCATACCACTAAATGTTGGAGATGCGAAAATCTTCTATTGAAGATTTGTGCGATATGTCCACATAAGAGGATGATGTCCTTGTGCGATATGAGCCCTAAGACTCCACCTTTACAGCCCATCCCCCTAAAATGAAAGTACTTATAGTAACTGTTTGGTCGAAAGTACCAATGTGTAGTGAGGTACCACCAGAAAGTTGACTTTTGTATTATTGAACTTTGACAAACTGAAATTTTTTTTAACCACAACCTAAATATAAGGTGACCAAACCACACACCAGAAGAGGAAGAGACGACGACGACGTTTCGGTCCGTGCTGGACCATTATCAAGTAGATGGTGATGGGAGCGAGATTGATGAAGATTAAGCCACCCAAGAGGTGGCACGGCCATGAATAGCCTATAAATGGGAGCGAGATTGATTAATTGATGAACATTAAGCCACCCATGAGGTGGCACGGGCATCAATAGCTCTTAAGTGGTAGATTGTTTTGAGTGAATGTGATCTTTGGTCTTGAAAGGATATACTGTGAGCTGAGCTCGCATTTAAATCGTCAGTCCTTACTGTGTGGCTGCTATCGCGGAGGAGGATACTGCTGGACATTATTTATGAGGGTGTCCAGCTGCTGGACACCTGTTTTGACCAGAAGAGTGGCAGTGTTGATGGCTTCAGGGTGGTTACTGCAACATTCAGGGACTCTTAAAGCTCTTCAAAGGTCGTTGGTTGCTTCACATTCCAGGAGATAGTGAAGTTGTAGCTTTTCTGTTATTGTTTGGCAGAAGATGCATTCCCAATATCTGGGTTCACCAATTTCCCAGTTCCATCTGTAACCTAGACATAGTCTATATAATCGAAATGCTATTTACCTGTGGATTCCATTCGGGATACGCTATCTAACTTGGTGGCCTGAAGATAACATACTGCAGAGGGCGAACCTTCTGCTACTCTCTGTTGTAGATAGGCTTTGTTGAGGTGTGCCAAGATTTTGGTGATGGGGCCCAGGCGACGGCGTCCTGTCGGAGCGTCCAATCATTGTAAGAAGTACCTGGAAGAGAGGAGGACCTGTTTCCCTACCTTCCAGGTGTGCCGGTCGGGTTGTGCACACCTGCACCATGACAACACGAGAGGGGGCGAGAACTCACCACCCTCAATATACCAGCTGACGCATCTGGAGTCGCACTACAAGGATCGAGGAACACCCTGCGACTTAAGGAAGGTCGAAGTCGTCTACAATCTGCACGACCGAAACTCATCTTGTAATATATCCCCAGAACTCATCTTGTAATAAATCTCCTGATAGTTCCCTAGTTCCATCCCCGAGAATCTGGCTAAGCGGTGGACCTCGCCTGGGAACTTAAGAGTTACCAGACACTCACTGTCTGGTAACCAGTGCGGTGGGAAGGGAATTATCAGGGGAAAGTGCCAAGCCATTACGACTTGGAACGGTTTAGGACAAGGATTTGGGATGGGACGAGGGAAAGGAATGGTGCCCAACCACTCGGACGGTCGGGGATTGAACGCCTACCTGCATGAAGCGAGACCGTCGTTCTACCGTCCAGCCCAAGTGGTTGGGTGTTGCAGTGGGAACTTGTGCCAATTGTTGCTGGAGGGAACATGGGCTAGTTGTTGTTGTTGGGAGAACATGTGGTTGTTATTGCTCGGGGGGGGGGGCATGTACTCACCTAGTTGTGCTTGCGGGCGTTGAGCTTTGGCTCTTTGGTCCCGCCTCATGTAGTAGTCAGAGCTGGCTGGTGATGGAGCGTTAGGTAAATCATGGCTTGCATGTTGCAGGTATCTGGTGCTGCCTGTAGCTGCTGTGTATTTTTGTTCGTGATACTCTCTTATGTTGTTCAGTGGCACCATGTTGCAGCTCATGTTGGGTCTGGTGGCACCATGTTGCAGCTCATGTTGGGTCTGGTGGCACCATGTTGCAGCTCATGTTGGGTCTGGTGGCACCATGTTGCAGCTCATGTTGGGTCTGGTGGCACCATGTTGCAGCTCATGTTGGGTCTGGTGGCACCATGTTGCAGCTCATGTTGGGTCTGATGGCACCATGTTGCAGCTCATGTTGGGTCTGATAAAACTGTTACAGTTCATGTTGGGTGGTGTGGAAGTATTGGATTGTTATGTATGTTGGGTGTGGTGGATGCATGTCGCTGATATGTTGGGTGTGGCTAAAACATGTTGATGGCATGTCGTGTGTGGTAGACGCAATGTGGTGGCATGTTGAGTGTACTGGAAGCATGTTGCTGGTATGTTGAGTGTGGTAGAAGCATGTTGCTGGTATGTTGAGTGTGGTAGAAGCATGTTGCTTGTATGTTGAGTGTGGTAGAAGCATGTTGCTGGTATGTTGAGTGTGGTAGAAGCATGTTGCTGGTATGTTGAGTGTGGTAGAAGCATGTTGCTGGTATGTTGAGTGTGGTAGAAGCATGTTGCTGGTATGTTGAGTGTGGTAGAAGCATGTTGCTGGTATGTTGAGTGTGGTAGATGCATGTTGCTAGTATGTTGAGTGTGGTAGAAGCATGTTGCTGGTATGTTGAGTGTGGTAGATGCATGTTGCTGGTATGTTGAGTGTGGTAGAAGCATGTTGTAGGTATGTTGAACGATGTGGAAGGATGTTGGGTGTGGTGGAACCATACTGGTGACATAATGATGTGGGAACATGTTAAGTAGAAACACTGCATAAGTGATAGGAGAATATTTCAGGTTATCCTGTCATTTCTTCTAAGTGAACTTCTCATTCTGTTCAACCACTTAATTTGACAAACTTCACCTAAACAGTCAATTGAATTTTCTACAAAGTCTGGGGAAAAAAAATGAATTATTTCCCGCCAGATACACAACATTGCTTGTAACAACCAATATAGCAAGTTGTAACAACATTCTAATACGTCATAAAAAGATGTAACAACTCTTATTACAAGTTGCAACAAGCGGAAAATAGGGACAATTACGTTGTGTTTGTAGGGGTGAAGGTTATCATTAGAGGGCTGACACAAGGTTATAATGACTGGCAGGAGCGAGCGAGCCGGAGCTCCCAGGTCCAGCCGGCCCTCGCCACCTCTCGCCTCAGTCTGCCCACGCACCTGTACTGCCTCTCCTATTTATCGGACGGATTCTTCCCTTAACCTGTTGAGTTCTCTGGTCTCTGATTGGCAACTGCTCTGGCTACATCACCTCCCTCGGCGGCGCTCATTGGCTGTGAGCACGGCTGCGTCACGACCACTCATCGAGGATTGGATGGGCAGCCAGTGAAAACTGAATTGCCAGTGCGCAAGCGCCTGGAGTTGTATGCACTTCTTGACTAGGCTAAAAGTGTGTGCGAGTGAGGAAAAGTTGCAGACTTTGTCGGAGTATTGTGAGAGGAGTGAGACCGAGGGAGCTAGCGGAGAGTGAGTGCTCCGCCCTCACTAGTGATCGCGGGTTACTTCGTGTTCTCCACTTGTTGACAATCCTTGTGTGCGTCTCTTCCTTGTGTCGTCCGCTCTGAAAATTGTAAGTACATATTTATTTGCATGTTATCGTAATCATTTGTGCAGTGTGATTAGTTAGCGGGTTAAACAAGGCGAGGACATGACAGTGGGTGATGGCGATGGTGTCTAAGTGTCGGTCATAACTGTTATGTTTATTGGTGGTGGTGGTGGGAGTGGTGGCGGTGGAGTGGTGGTTTAGTGGTGGTTTAGTGGTGGGAGTGGTGGAGGAGTGGTGGCGGTGGTGGTGGAGTGGTGGTGGGAGTGGTGGCGGTGGAGTGGTGGTTTAGTGGTGGGAGTGGTGGATGAGTGGTGGCGGTGGTGGTGGAGTGGTGGTGGGAGTGGTGTTTACTAGTTGTGTTTTTACTGGGGTTGAGCTTTTTGTTCTTTCGGCCCGCCTCTCAACTGCCAATCAACTGTTCACTAACTACTACTTTTTTTTTTCCACACCACACACACACACCCCAGGAAGCAGCCCGTGACAGCTGACTAACTCCCAGGTACCTATTTACTGCTAGGTAACAGGGGCACTTAGGGTGAAAGAAACTTTGCCCATTTGTTTCTGCCTCGTGCGGAAATCGAACCCGCGCCACAGAATTACGAGTCCTGCGCGCTATCCACCAGGCTACGAGGCCCCTAGTGGTGGTGGTGGAGTGGTGATTGTGGTGGTGGAGTGATGGCGGGGGTGGTGGTGG